TGCTCAGGGCCTGTATTTTTGCTACGGGAAAATGTCGCTACGCCCGCAAAATTCTACCTAATATTACTATCATTGTTAATACTCCTGTTGTGATTCGTATGTTAAAATATTTTTAAAACTAGCTGCTTCTAAAGACTTTGACTTCAACGAGCTGCAACTCGCAAGACAGCGTTCTCTCCTTTACCCTTCGACAGCGGGAAAAACACTCTCGGGTCTATCAAACACCAGGGAAATTGGTATTCATGACACTGTAAAATGGCTATTTTCAGACGATTCGTTTTTGCCGAGTGTAATCTACAAATCCTTTGGGCAATTGAACATTTATAAATCTTTTTTATTTATAGCAAATTTACTCGGCCGCGAAATCATAATATAAACCAGCCTATTTCAAAACAATCTCGAGATAAAAGTTAGAACTTGATATAGCATATACAGTATATTGCCCTACATATTGACGTCATTGACTGTGTTCTCGCTAACAGGTATTAATTCATGTACAGCCCCAGCGAGTTAACGCTCAATAGAGGTTCACTTTACGTGTTTTAAACCTGCTATTGCTATTAGTTAAAACGGATTTAGTTTACTAACATTTCATATAACGATTCACTTGGGCCCTAATATGCTCGCAGCAATCCCTACCTTGCAGGTAACCTAGTTAACAGTTATTCTGCGAACTCGAGTCGTATATGAGCTGATAGAGGCGCATAGCGCCGAGTTGGCTATATCGGCCATATACGACTCGAGTGAGCAGAATAACTGTTTTATTATATACACAAACTTTGTCGCCCTTTCGGTGCATTTTGGTGTGCTATTATCAACTAAAGCTTGGATTTCTATTTCATTCAACTCCCAAATCTTTCAGCCATTTTGTTTACTTTCTCTACTAGACAGATATGAGCTAATATCTGTCTAGTAGCCAACCAATGAAATTGCAGCATACCTCATATCTGGCGCTTGTGTATATAATAACAATGGTTATATAGTATATATATAATGGTTATATAGTTCAATGGTGTAATATTATATAATACACATTCTGATAGAGGCAACTCTGGCTGCAAAATAACAAATATAAATTCCTTAACCTCTTGACCGGACTATTAAGTAATAAAACTGAGCTGCCCATCACGAAATAACTTTCGATCTAAGATTGCTCTTATATTAATGTCTTAAATATCGTATCCCACGTTATGACGTCACACCAATGGCGAAGATATCAACGTCCCAAAGGGAACGGGAATGTGAAATCGACACAAATTCAAGCGAACAATTCAAAGTTGTAATGTTCATTCTTTTAAATAACTAATAAAACAATTATTGAATTCGGTTTTGACATGATATGAAGAATTATCAAGCCTTAGTTTTTCATTATCAACCTGAAACCTCGGTTTGATAATTCTTCATATCCTGTTCGACCTCATTCAATAATTGTTAAATATATGATAAGATTTGCATGTAACTCAGTTTACGGTACAGGGACGTTTACGTCAAGAAAATTTCAACAAATATTAAAACATCTTACAGACTAAGAAGACTATCAGACATGTGACTATGCTTTTATTTACGATAACCTATCACGAATGTCACAGACTTGATTTTTGCCTTCTTTAGTGAATGTTCGTTTCTTAATTGTTGTACAGAAATCTAGTTAAAAGTTGTTTGGACGAATTTTCATCTCTGTTTTTCTCATCGAGAAAGGGTGCCAGTATCTCCATCTTATTCCGATGCCATTCAACTGACCTGCACCATGCAGGTACACGCCATTGAGGTTTGAACGATGACAGTCGTTGTACCACCAAGCTCCTCTGAATGTAATAGCACAATTTCCATAACCTCGAGGATCATTGTCGCTATCCTTTGAAAAGAAGAAAGAGAAAGAAAGCGTTTTTAATCAAAATATTCTTATTTCGGAGCGGGAAGTAGTTTTAATTATAATGTGGCCACTATTTAAGCCTGAAAATACTAAAGCTTGGCATACCTGAATAACTTTACTTCCATCTCTTCTTCACCCGTTACGACAAACGTGTCAATTAACAGCTAAAAGCTTCATCTATTGTTATGCCTGTTTTCCACTAGCGATATTTTTTCGCGCGAAGCGAATTTATTCCTTTGTATTTAAGCAATTCGTTCCAGATGGTTGCAGTTGAGAGCTCTGAAACAAAAGTAAAAAGTCGTTTCGCGCGAAAATTATCGCTTGTGGAAAACCGGCTTGATAATTATTGAGAAATTATGCTCGTGGATCAAGTGATTCGCGCACAATAACGCGATGGTTGTCCAATACTGTTGCAAGCATACGGGTCGTTCGTTTCGTAAAATTTTTTATACGGATGGTAAAGTGGTTTAGGCATTGGTATCGAATAGACTCTTAGTTTATGATCCGTAAATAGACTATGTCGATTCGTAAACGCATTTTGTCGACTAGAACATGAGGCATGGAAACTAGCGTGTGCGTAAGCAGCTGTATCCCCAAACAGACTGTGTCCATTTGTAAATAGGGTAAGTTGTGTCTATGGGATAGGTCGATGAAGAGATTGTCGATCCGTACCATTAGTATCGAATGGACGGTTCGTTTACGATCCGTAAACAGATTTTGTCCCTTGGTAAAAAGGACAACATGTGCGCCGGCCAAGCTTTAGGCCCCTCTAAAACTTGTCGAACCGTACCATTGGTACCAAATGGACCGTTGGTTTACGATCCGTAAACAGACTGTGTCGATTCGTAAATAAGGAAGATGTGTCAAGGATAGGCCTCTGAAAAGCTTGTCGATCCGTACCATTGGTATCAAATGGACTGTTCGTTTACGATCCGTAAACAGACTGTGTCGATTCGTAAATAGGGAAGATGTGTCTAGGACAGGTCTCTGAAAAGCTTGTCGATCCGTACCATTGGTGTCGAATGGACGGTTCGTTACGATCCGTAAACAGACTGTGTCGATTGGTAAATAGGAAAGATGTGTCTAGGATAGTGGATTGACAGTTTATATACACGTGCGTAGACACGAATGGAACTCATTATAATTGAACTTTGAAACTATGATGACAATATTAGGTATCAAATAGCAATCATAGCATTAGCATATAGACGCACAGCGAGACGGAAAAGGTGTAAATATAACGCATGTTTTGTTAAATAAGTAAATGAAAGAAAGACGGGCTAACCTGAACGATAAACGATGAAATAGACAGCTAAAGGATCTCGCCACAGAAGTAAGACATTGACTTTATATTCTAGTTTGTTTACGCAGAATTTATGCATTGTATGGGTAATTTATACGCCACACGTGCGAACATTTATAGGCTTATATGCATGTTTACTTTAATATTTCTTTGTATTAATTTGCTCTATTTAGATCGAATTGTTATTATATAATTTATAATGCGATTTGCGAGACTTCTTTGGTTTAATGTCTGAGATTACTTGCTAACCGGTCGTCTTGGTTCCGACGAAACACTATTCGATTTCTTGCTAACCACGGTTCGAAGGAATTTGAGACGAATTATACTGTAAAACGACAATGGAAAATATGACATCGAAAGACGGCAATTGCGACGATTTTAAGAAAGCTAAGATGAAACGACGAAACGGCAAAGCAGCATTAACACGGCTCGGGAAAGTTATAATAGTCCAAATCGAGGGGAAACGTTCGACCGATGAGGTTCAAAGGGCGCTTGATAATTATGAACACGCATTTGCCGACCTGGAAGCCAAACACGAAGAAGTGACAATGCTAATCGAAGATGACGAACAGTTCAATGAGGAAGAACGATATATTGAACAATGCCAGGAAACCTTTCTGCGCTTAAAAATTGACGCGCAAGATTATATAAAGCAACAGACGAAAATATCAGAGATGAAACAAAATACTGTCGAAACCGGAAGCGTAAATACTCCCGCAGAGAACTTGTCGAATGAAGAACAAATTAACGAAATCCCGGCCGGCGAAGAAAGTCATGCATCGATACCGAATGAAGAAATCAAGACAACCAGATATCAGCACCAGTAGCTCAAGAAACCCAAAGTCATCCTGTACAACCCAGCACATCTATTAATGATTCATCGTTCAACACAACTGAGAACACCGCGGAGACAGCAACTCATATAAGCAAAGGAGAAAGCCTATTTCGAATTGAGAAGCCAAAGATGCCAAAATTCACTGGTGACGTCAGAGAATTTGGAACTTTTAGAGCGGACTTTAAGCACTTGGTGGAAAATAGATACAGTAAACGTGATGCAATAACCATTCTGAGGTCTAGTCTCCAAGGAAAACCGCTGGAAATGATCAAGGGAATTGGTCAAGACTATGATGCCGCATGGGAATATCTCGATTCCGTGTATGGAGATCCACGATTTGTTGCTGACATCATCACTCACGATATCTCCAAGTTTAAGCCAATAAAGGACGGAGAAGATGCCCGGTTTTGCGACTTGGTCCATTTAATAAAGCGGAGTTTCAACACCCTTAGAGAAGTAGGACGGGAGAATGACATGGATAACAACCACATGCTGGCTATCATTGAACAGAAAATGTTTACCGACGATCGCAAAGTCTGGTCACGCTATTTGGAGAGTTCAAAGAGTCAAGCCACATTGGAGTCGTTAATTTCCTGGATGACAAGTGAGATGAAGTCGAGAATGAGAGCAACGGCACCATTAAGAAGCTCATGGCAGTCACCCAAGCATGTTGGACATGTTACTGGAAAAGAAGATGGGAAGCCAACAAACCATAAGTGCTGGTTCTGCAAAACGTCTGAACATTGGACCGACCAATGCCAAAAGTTCCTTGCCCAGAGTGCTAGCGACCGCCTGAAAGTTGTGAAGGAGAACCATGCCTGTTATAGCTGCCTGAAGCGAGCTGGTCGTGGTCACAACATGTCAACCTGCTCTCGAAGGCGCCAGTGCAGCGAGACCATCAGCGGAGTTCAGTGCAAGCATTACCATCATCCACTATTGCATATTTAAACATATCTGCTGTGTCATCTGTTACTACTAGCGGAGAGACTATGTTACCGACTATTCAGGCAGAAATCCTGGGACCACAGAAGGTCAAGAAACAGGCTAATATGTTACTAGACACTGGTGCTCAAATCAGTTTAATACGGACATCAGTCGCTGAGGGCTGGGTCTCAAAGGCAAGGTGTCACAGTAACAATGGCGAAAGTTGGAGGAGAAGAATGAGATTATGTGTCAACAAAGATGTATCGATTCCAAATTCGATCCTCGAGAACCAGTCCATCCACACAATTGCAGCTGTGGGAATCCCAAGTATCAGTGGTGATATTTCCGGAATGAAACTTGATGGCATAGCTGAAGCTTTCAACCTTGAAAGAGAGAAATTACGAAGAGAGAATGGTCCAATAGATGTCCTGTTGGGAATTGATCAACCGAAGTTGCACACTGGTGAGACAAAAGAAGCTGGTAATCTTGTTGCAAGATATTCGCCATTGGGATGGGTTGTCTTTGGAGCCACGTCTGAAAAGTGTGACGTCAGTCAAGTCTACCATGTCAAGTGTTCAAATCCCATCGATATGACCGACTTTTGGACCACCGAATCAATGGGCGTGGAAGGGAATATGTGTTCTTGTGAAAGCAAGAAGTTAAGTCCAGTTGAAGCCTACGAAGCCAAGATTATAGAACAATCCTGCAAAAAGATTGGTAATAAATGGTTAGTTTCATACCCCTGGGTCAAAGATGCATCTGAATTACCGGATAACAGAAGCCAAGCGGAGAAGAAATTGGAAACAACCGAGCGTCGATTAGCCAAGAACCCAGATCATGCAGAAGCGTATGACAAGCAGATGAGGGAAATGAGTGAAATGAACTTCTCTCGAAAATTATCAAGTGAAGAATTAAAGTCATACAAGGGACCAACCCACTACATATCCCACCATGAGGTAGTCAGACCCGAGAAGAAGAGCACCCCCATCCGAATTGTTTTCAATTCCTCAGCATCGTATAAAGGGCACCGCTTAAATGATTACTGGATGAAAGGACCCGATTTACTAAATCTGTTTGGAGTTCTCCTACGATTTCGAGAAAATGAAGTGGCTATCAACGCGGATATATCCAAGATGTATCACAGAATCCTAATCCCGGAAAGAGATCAACATGTTCACCGATACCTGTGGAGAAACATGGATACGGATCGAGAACCTGATGTTTATGTCAAAACAGTCTTGACATTTGGTGACAAACCAGCCCCAGCCATGGCACAGACCGCGCTGCAAAAGACTGCTGAAGAAGGAGAAAAACGCTACCCTGCAGCTGCTGAAGTCTTAAAGAAGAATACTTACATGGACGACATATGCGATTCGGTCCATTCTGAAAATCAAGCAAGAAAAATAACAGCAGAGATTGACGAAATCCTTCGCAACGGTGGTTTTAACGTGAAGTGTTGGCTCTCAAACCGGTCATTAAAGAAGAATGATGAAAGCGTTATTGAAAAAAGTGAATTGGAATTAAAGCTCCTACAAGGCCCAGTTGAAGAGAAAGTTTTGGGAACTGTCTGGAACCACCACGACGACGTTTTTGGGTTCAAAGTGATTCCTCCTGAACTAGTTAAACTTACGAAGAGAGCAATACTAAGCCAAGTAGCTCGGATCTACGATCCTCTAGGAGTAGCTGCAGCTTTCCTGATTCGCGCCAAAATAGAGATGCAAAAACTGTGGTTAGAAGGACTACAATGGGATGATGAATTGCCGCCGAATCTCCAAATAACGTGGATACGATTCTTCCAAGAGATGAACGACCTGAACAACGTCACCTTCGAAAGGTCTCTTACGCCAGATTCCGTGATCGGAGCGCCAGTACTATGCATTTTCTCGGACGCATCGATTGAAGCCTTCGGAGCATGTGCTTACATCAGATGGGAGACAGAAAACAACACCTTTGTAACCAGGTTCATCGCAGCAAAGTCAAGAGTAGCCCCACTGAAGTCGCTGACCATACCTCGTTTAGAGCTACAAGCAGCTGTCCTGGCGACACGATTATGTTGTTCTATTCTCGAAGAGTCTCGAATGAAGTTTGTGAAGATAATTTTCTTCTCTGACAGCCACATTGTTCTTTCATGGATCCGTAACCAACCCAGAGAGTTTAAGCCGTTCGTTTCAGCCCGAATTGCCGAAATCCAGAGCAAGTCTGAACCAGATCAGTGGAGACACGTTCCTGGAGAGCTAAATGTCGCTGATGATGTGTCGCGAGGAATACCTGCTCTGCAACTGACAGGCAGATGGAAGTATGGCCCCGAGTTTCTGAAGTTACCGGAGGAAGAATGGCCGAGCGAGTCGTCTTCTGCTACCATCACTAAAAGCGTGGATATCGATCAGTCTGAACGTCGAAAAGTTCAACCTGTCTTTCAAGTAACCCAATCGCCAGAAGTCATTCCGTGCAAGAAGTTTTCCAGTTGGGGGAAACTTATCCGAGTCACAGCCTATGTGTTACGGTTCATCAACACGCTACGAAACAAGCATCAAAACAAAGACAACACAGAAACGACCCGACCGAAAGACACCTCAGATGATAGATCAATCTCAGCAAAGGAGTTAGAAGATGCCGAGTTGTATTGGGTCAAACAAAGTCAGAAGTCACTTCATGATCGCCTGAAAAAGGGAGAACTGAAAGGACTCACCCCGTTTACCGATGACAACGGAGTTATCAGAGTCGGAGGTCGAGTAAGCGAAGCCGTAATCTCGTACGATGCCAAACATCCAGTTTTACTCCCACGTGAACACTGGATATCCCTGCTGATCACTCGTAACTTCCATCGAAACGGCCACTCAGGAGTTGCAACAACCGTTGCAAAGATCAAGAAAAAGTTTTGGATTATCCGATGTCATGATCTTGCCAAGTCAATAAAGTTCCGATGCGTATGTTGTCGCCGAATCCAAGCCAAAACCGAGGAGCAGTTCATGTCAGACCTACCAATTACCCGACTGGAGCCATTCACACCACCCTTTCATCGCACGGCATGCGATTACTTCGGTCCTTACCAAGTTAAAATTGGCCGAAACAAAACAACCAAACACTATGGCGTACTGTTTACATGTCTGAATACTCGTGCCGTACACCTGGAAATCGCAGTGGACTATTCCGCTATGGAATTCTTGCAAACCTTACGTCGATTTTTCGCAATCCGTGGACAACCGGCTCTGATGATCAGTGACAACGGGACGCAGCTGGTGGGAGCTCAACGTGAACTCCGAGAAATGATAGAAGGATGGAACGAGAAAGAGTTGAAGGAATTCAGCGCCGAGAAAGGAATGGAGTGGAGATTTATTACTCCTGCAGCACCACATCATAACGGTTGTGCTGAGGCTCTTGTCAAGAGTTCGAAGAAAGCATTAAAGATCGCGATTGGTGAACAAATTTTGGCTCCGTTCGAGCTGTACACATGCTTGCTGGAAGTTAGTAACCTGATTAATCAGCGTCCTATTGGAAGGATCCCCAATGATCCAGATGACGGTTCTTTCCTTTGTCCAAACGACATTTTACTTGGTCGAGCATCAACAATGGTACCACAAGGGCCATTCAGAGAAACGAAGAATCCTCAACATCGTGTTGAATTTGTCCAGAAGATCATCGATAGTTTTTGGAAGCGTTGGAGCAGAGATGTATTTCCCACCTTAGTTCCCAGAAAGAAATGGACTACTGAAAAAAGAAATGTACGAGTGGATGACATCGTCGTGGTTCAAGATACGAATGCGATTCGTGGAAACTGGACTACGGGCAGAATTGTTAATGTATATCCTGGAAATGACGGACGAATTCGTAACGTTAAGGTGAAGACATCCACATCGCACTACGAAAGACCTATTACAAAAGTCGCAGTACTGTACCCTGCAGAAGGATATGAATATAAGTAACTCACAATTAGTAACATTAAGTGATGAGGAAGAGTCCTCATCGGGGGGAGAGTGGATTGACAGTTTATACACGTGCGTAGACACGAATGGAACTCATTATAATTGAACTTTGAAACTATGATGACAATATTAGGTATCAAATAGCAATCATAGCATTAGCATATAGACGCACAGCGAGACGGAAAAGGTGTAAATATAACGCATGTTTTGTTAAATAAGTAAATGAAAGAAAGACGGGCTAACCTGAACGATAAACGATGAAATAGACAGCTAAAGGATCTCGCCACAGAAGTAAGACATTGACTTTATATTCTAGTTTGTTTACGCAGAATTTATGCATTGTATGGGTAATTTATACGCCACACGTGCGAACATTTATAGGCTTATATGCATGTTTACTTTAATATTTCTTTGTATTAATTTGCTCTATTTAGATCGAATTGTTATTATATAATTTATAATGCGATTTGCGAGACTTCTTTGGTTTAATGTCTGAGATTACTTGCTAACCGGTCGTCTTGGTTCCGACGAAACAGATAGGGCTCTGAAAAGGTTGTCGATCCGTACCATTGGTATCAAATGGACTGTTCGTTTACGATCCGTAAACAGATTTTGTCCATTTGTAAATAAAGTAATTTAACACCATGCGAGTGATGCGACTAAGGTTTGTCCCCGAAAAGGTTGTCGATCGAAAACAATTTGTGATAAAGATACGTTTAAATTAACACTGTTCCTTTTCAATAACGGCTACCCTCCTTATGTCATTGTCGAGTGGATTGTTTCGTCGCTATAGTAGCTACATATAACAAGTCTATTTTAATATCGTAGCTAGAGATTTGCCAGGCGGAAAACGACTTCTTATGATAAATATGAGAGCCCAACATAATTATAAAATTATGAAAGCCATCAAAACAATTCAGAGTTTAAAAAAATACATTTCTAACGTTTTGTCTTTAACTTAAAGACATCTATTTTACTAATAGACATATCTTGTTGTTTGCTATATATAATGCATTAACATTTTGCGGATTTTAATAACAACGCATGTTATATTGCTCGTATTTTTCTTGAGAACGAGGAATATCATATATAATTAGACTATTGTATATTGATAGGAATATCTTGGGTACCATATATTGAAGTGATATCTAGCGGGGTTTTTTAACAATGCGTGTTTTGATTTCATACTCCAAGGGAATCTATGACTATGTCTATGCGTATAGCGGTTGGTAAATGAAAGTTTTCCATCAAAAATACTACATGCACTATTTAATCGTTGTTGGGTTTTTTTTGAGACCGAGAAATGTTAGCTACATATACAAATTAACACTGATATATAGGCAGTTATCTTGAGTGCTGCATGCATGTATTTAGTAAAGTAAAGCTTTGTGACGCATATACAGTTATTATTGCATGCAGAGGGGAACATTGCATGCATGCAGGTTTTATCGAGAATGCTTGCGTTTGGTCGCTTTTATCGAGAATGCGCGTATATCGCTCGTTTTTGTCTTGAGAACGAGGAATGCTACATATATACCTATATAGTGTTCTATTTTACTGATAGATATGCATATCTTGTGCGCTATATATTACAGTGATATCTTGCGGCTTTTAATAACAATTACATGTTATATATTGCTCGTATTTTTCTTGAGAACGAGGAATATTATATATCAGTAAATAGTCTATTTAATTGATAAGGCATATCTTGGGTAAAATATATTGAAACGATATCTAGCGAGTTATTTTAAAAACTCGTGTATTGGTATCGTCCTCAAAAGGGATCTATGCGTATAGCGGAAACGGTGTTATTTACGATTGGTAAATGAACGTTTTCCATTCGTACGGTTGGTACGGATGGTACGAATCGACAGTCGTTTCGTGTATGGGGATATCGTACTCCACAGGAGGTTAGACGTATAGCGGAAACGGTGCTGTGATGATTTTTTTACGATTGGTATATGAAAATTTTTCATTCGTACAGTTGGTACGGATTGAACGAATCGACAGTCGTTTCCTGCGTGTATGCGGATATCGTACTCCAAAGGAGCGCACTCGTTAATAAATTTACAAATGGTAACTGTTTTTTTTCCATTCGTACGGTTCGTACGTCAGTCCGTTTGTATGTCCCGTTTTACCACCAGTATCGATCCGTGAAAAGTGTCACGAAACGAAAATGTAGTTTACGAATGGTGAAAAAGGTTGTCGATCCGTATGCATGCGACAGTATTGGACATGTATGGATGAATAACGCCTTAATGTTGGATTGTCTTATTTGTATAGAACGAAGTCGACGAAGCGACAATGATCAAATATATTGCGTCAAACTGGTAGAGGTGTAAAACGTACTGGTCTCTGTAGCAGACTAGCAGTCAGAGACGAGGAGTCCGACAATCAGATTGGTGGAATGTGTTCAGAAAGAACTTCTCATCAGGCCTTCTAAAAGCCGAAGATGGTCAGTATTCTCTATCATATATATATAATTATTACTATATATTTACCATATCACAGCAAAATCGTGACTCTTATTTTAAGAAAAAAAATACTTGTTTGAAGCAAAAAATTGCTTTGAAACAAGTAAAATATTGTTCTTGTCAGTATAGTGAGAATAATATTCTTGGCAAGAATCTAGTCAAGAATATTAGTCTTACCTAGAATCTTATTTTAAGTAAAAAAAATTCACAATAATCCACAGTTCTTTGCGCTAGTTGGCAGTTACCGGATTTAAGATATATATTTTCATAATAAACAAACTACGTCCATTCAGAATGTTTAAATAGGCATTAAAACCTTCATTTCATCTGCATCTGAAAGGAAAGATTTAAACAAATAACAAATCTTTTTGAAAAGAATGCTCAATGTTCCTTACTTGCGAATCTTTGCTCGGTTAATAAATGTTATTTAGTACGAATATAAAAATATTCTTGCGTGTTTGAAATAAATGTGAGGCTTTCAAGATGCTTTGGATATTATAAGGAAATTAGTATTCTTTGCAAGTGAATCAACAAGCTTTTTTTAAAGCCGGTTTTAAGTTAACAATGTTTCTCGCCAAGAATCCAAGAAAACGCTTTGCTTGTTTTAAGAATACCAAAATTCTTAGTGAGAATACAAGCAAGAACATTTACTTGTTTTAAGAAACTGTTATTCTTAATTAGAAAAAGTTTACTTATTTCAAGTAAAATTCATTCTTGATAAGAATAATTTATGCCCTTTTACTTGTTATAAGCAAAATTTTGCTTAAAATAAGAATTTCTGAAGAACTTTATTCTAGAATTCTCGATTTTGCTGTATATTTAGTATGCGTTTTAATGGTAAGATATAGTTTATGTGTTTCCTCAATTTGCTCGCAAAACCGTTTTTATCCACAGAACGGCAGTCACGCAGTGTGTCAGTGGGCTCTCAGTGCCGGCTCCCTGATATAAACTGCCTCCCCAATCGATCAAAATATTATTTTATAATAGTAGAAAACCTTGACTGCAAAATAGTCAACATATTACTTGGTTCATATAGTAAATTAATCAAAGTTTAGTCGGTGGCAGAAAAATTGTATTACAAACAGGCATTACTTGCATACGTTTGGCTCTAGGCAGGGAAATTAGAGAGATTATTTGAAGGCATAAAATACAGTGTAATTACTGGCCCCTATGTCCAAACTATCTGGATTGTGGCAGGATTTTTTCTCCGAAGTGGAAAAGCTGTTCTGGTGCGAATGTTGTATGTATACTAATCATTTCGACTCCTCCGGGAGGACCAATGGTTGACACATTTTTCTCAATTGTTTCTGATGTGGTGATATCGACTCGAAACTAAGACAACACACCATGCAATCTTGCCATGCATCATGGTAACAACATCATTGTACTCCTTAAACAACGTTATATCTTGGACATATCTTCCTCGCAGAGTTGAATAGTTGGTCTGTATTCTTCCATGCACCTCATTGGAAAAAGAAACTTTGCTACAACCTCGTCCTGACGATGAGGTTGACTTTGCCAAATGCTTTTTAATTTCTGCTAATCTTCTTCCCGAATATTCCACTTTAGAGGTTTCCACTTGAACAAATTGAACAAATTTCCTTCGACGTAAAAACATTGTCAAAGGAATATTAAATCCGACATTATTAAATCATTTCATCGCGACATGATTTAGGCAAAAGACGCTGATAAGGTTAAGATAAGGTTTGGATAATTTTTTCATAATTTTTTTAATAAGACACGCTTATACTCGTTATCTTGAAGCATTCTTGATTCCCAGATTTTCCGAAGAGTGTTTTTCATCATTGTGTCATTTGTGTGAAAATTTGTGTCATTTTTTTCACATATTTGCGCATGTTTTATGGAATCAGTTTTTCTTTGCGATGCCTGATTGTCGCTTAATTTATTTATTAAGTACAACTAAAACATAAATAACAATGCAATCATACATGCATTTTGGCAATACAAAAATCCTTAACTTTGGCCTCAACCTAATAATTCTTTTGGTTCAATTTAATCCTTGCTTTTAGCTCAGGTTAACAAATTACAGCTTAACTAAATAAATTACTGAAAAGTTCATGTAAAATTATTGCAAAAGCTGTATTACCCTGTATACATTTTACCCGGGCAGTGCTGAAGATTTATGCATTCTTATTGGGTTATTTAAACGTGAACAAATTTCCTGACTGGCTAAAACGAAACTCCTTCTTGTTGCACAGGCTAACTCCCGCAAACTCCTCTATTACATAATTATCTCTGTATCATAATTCAATCACAAACGAATAAGTGTGTACGTATGTTCATTTCTTGGTGTCCATGCATGTTAAAACTAGTTTGGATGAATTTTCATCTCCGTTTTTTTCATCACGTTCAATTTCCATTGGTTCCATCTTATTCCGCTGCCACTAGTCTGACCTGCACCCAGGTACTGGCCATTGAGGTTAGAATAATGACAGCTCTTATACCACCAAGCTCCCTTGTAAGTTGCAGCACAATTACCAGAGTATTTATCATTGTCGCTATCCTTAGTAGTGAACTGCATGTTATCATGATAAGCCAGAGAATCCTTTGCATTGCCTGAAAGTTACGTGTAGAATTTTCTAGTACGATGTCTTGTGCCCATAAACATTACGTTAAAGATAAATCCGATAATATACTGTTGCAATGTATACATATGTAAAGACTTTAACAATGAGAATGCAAGCAGCAAAAAATAAAAAAAAAACTTAACAATGAGTACCGGTTTTTTTAAGGCAAAATTGTAATGATAAAATTTGGGGCGTTTTACTAAAATGAGGACCAGTGAACCTTCCTACGCACAATCAGTTAAACCATAAAACCTGCTTTCGGTTTTCCTAAGGAAAATCTCGTTCCAAAAAAATGCGCCAAAATTTTCTCCCAATAGTGTAGTACACGCTCTTAAAGTATGCCTAAATGGAGAGTGAAAAACATAATTTCTCAGAATGTTTATAGCATCCCAGCCCTCCTTTCTCTTTACGCATTTTAAACATTAATATACCTTCACCAGAATTTTGGGGCAAAATTTGAAAGCAATCATTGTTCGTAGCGGCAGGATTCTCACAAGACAATCAAATTTTCTGTTAACTCATGTAGGTTTCGTTTACCTGAATAACTGCCAATATTCAATCTGTATTTGTCTGATTCATCAGCTACACTAAACGTTCCATATTTAGCGTAACGTTTATCGCTATTGAAATCCATCAAATCAATTCTTAGAACATTTTGACCAGATTTCCACAAACGATGTATTTTATCAAGGCCCAACCAGAACTCGCCGTTAAGATCACCAAAGCCTGCTTTATAGTCTGACCATCCGAGGTAGAAATTTTGACTTCCATCTTGTCTTCTTTGGAACACGGTCCAGCCACCTCCGTCTGTGCTCATATCACATCTGACTTGGAAAGATCCCTGGTTGTCAGGATTGATGGTATAAATACCATCTGTTCTCACTCCTTTGTTATACAGATCTGCACAGCTGGAGCCGGTAGCTATAAAATTGTACAATGTTTAGGAAAATGCAGTAAAATATTAAGGTATTGGAATAATCCGTTGCTTATCCTTTTTTCTATGCAGATGATTATGCAGAAGATATTCGAAGTCCTCTTTAGAGCTATAGAATCCTTCTCACTAACGAAATAACTAACTTTCATCTCGCAATTTCAACTGGAATACATGAACCGCCTTATAGTACTATGACCTATAACCACTTCATTTAATATGGCGAATCAGGTGACAGTAATTGGCTATAATCAACTCATTCAAATTTATATCTTCGTCTATATATTTGATTTTGCGGCAAACCTGAATTGTCATTGCTCCATTCTTCCATATTCTTTGCCTGATGAAAATGATTTTAGAAATATTTACATTAAATACACGGAACGAGTGGGCATGTCGAAAATTCCTGTGGGTTTACAAGTTCAACACCTGAGTTGTGTTCTTTGTTGCCCTTGTTAAAAAGTTTCGTCTATTTACCTATTTATATATTTCTTGTGACCAAATAATATAAAATGGCACAGTAATATTGTACGTGCCAAAATCAACAATCGAGCAATTCGTTTTAATCAGTAATTTTAGGTATCTGAAAATTTCAATAACATACCGCTTCGTCATCGAGCATTAGTGTCCATTCTTCAGTCGTTGCGGTGTGATTTCTTTTTCTTGTGATGTTGGTCAGTTGGCAGTTCACAACATTAATCGTGTCTCTGTAGTTAAATCCGATACATTTCGGTGCCTTTTGGCAGAGCTCAAGACACTCTACCTGGACAAAGCTTGAGTTCACGGTATGATTTGATATAATTTCATTTGGGGGCAAAGAAGAACCTCCTAAAATTAGCCAATTGATATATGGTCGCGGAATGTTCAAACAAGAATTGTTTTAAATTATAGAAACATATGAAATACACGCGTAGATGACCTACCTGTTCTAGCGGCATTGTAAACCCTGGTAAAACAGTTCTGTGAAATGATACATGCGATTTTAATCATCAGTAAGATTGAAGTTGTTATCTTAAACATGATTAAAGGAATATAAGGTCGGTAAATGTGCTGTATCCAACATGTAGTTGCTGAAATAAAGCATTATCCATGAAGCAGGTGGAAAAAAGGTGCCTGCTGTGCCGTCTTACATTAATTTAAAGCAATTTCTTTCGGAGTGTTCACGCAGTGATAATTATAATGATTTTTTTTATTAATGCTTAGTCTGGTATTTGTCTTCCTGCTTGATATCCCTAACTTTGTTGACTGAGTAAATTGTGCAATATTATTTCAGCACCGAGTTTTTTTCTGCCGATCATCCTCTTCAGTGTGCAATTACACGTTTTCGATTAAGACTCATTGAGAGGCAATAAAGTCGGTTTCTTTGTAGAGAAAATGAATTTCTTTTTGGGTAATTATTAGATGAAAATTATTAAACTGAGCAATAAAATGTCACTGAAGTTTTTTGTTGATTGGATAAACATATTATGGAGATCATCACTTGACTTTCATAGCAACATGACATTCAGAGCCGTGCACATATAAAATGATGCATATTTATGATTTTCTCCAGAGCTAGATGCTATAAATTAGGCCGAATCCTCTATAACAGGGCGTGAGCCAGGTTTGAATGAGTCATGCGATCATTCAACCACAAATAATATCTTATGAATATTATAATTATTGTTATTGTCGAACATTCGGCATAAACTTAACAAAGGACGTTTCATCGTCAATGTGTCAAAGCTTTCCGTATTTTTCTTCTCGTCCTTTTTAGACATTCTCATGTTCGCATTTTTCCCTGTATATGCAACTGAAACATCACGTTTAGTTTGAGCAAACGTTGAATACGGTGAATATAACTAATTAATTTTTTGTTTATTGTCCGCCCACGTCCGTTTTAAATAATTTACATAAAATGAAAAATTAGAATAAAAAATTATTGGGCAATTGAAACTTTATTAAAAAGGGGTTGCAGATTTAGACATCAAGTTAGTGTATTTTTTATACCATGCCTTTGTGCTATGTAGTAAAATTACTACAATTATTTAATAATAACATGCAATAGAAAAACGGGTGTAAGAATAAATAGGTTAGGAAAAAATATTAAAGTTATACAGAAATCTATTTATATAAGAAGCGCTGTTGTAGTAAGAAGTGTACTTTCTTTAAGATGGGATGAGACGAAGATGAAGTGTAGTTCTTCGACACGCGGATTGATTAACAATTATTAAAATAAGGGTGAATATAAAAAACTGTCAAAGCCGAAATTTGAAAATCCTTATTCATATCACGTGAAAACCGATTATTAACTTAATATTAATTTCAGAGAATAAACACTACAACTTTGTATGTATGGCACTACTCAGAAGTCAGAATAGCATTATCACAATATTAGTTCACAAAACTGAGTCATATTTACTATCACGATCGCTTTAAGCCGAATAGACTTGGAAAGGACTAGAAGTAGCCTTAGGATACTCTTTTCAAAAGCGAGAGCGTAAGACCTCGTAACGGGGACATCTTTAAATATAGGCGGTCTTCACCTAGGTTGAGGATTGGCCTAGGAAACCAAAGGTTAAGGGAGTGATCCCGACCGTGGTCAAGCTTATTTTTCAGCTCGGCCAGTTGATAACTCAGTGTAGCATCATCACAATATCTAGAACTTCGATCGCTCGCGCTTGTGTTGTTTTACATTCCGCTTCTTTGGAGCACCTTGAAACATATTTTACAAACAACGATCATTATAACAAATCAGTCTTACGATTTTTCTATGTTTCGATAAAGAAATCCTCAAATCTATAACGAATGTCACATGCAGGTTTGACTTTTCCTTCCCCGACTCATTTTGAAAGTTTGCTTTTTACACGACTCATAAAATTAGTTCGGAAACAGTCTAAGATGCTCAAACATGAAAGTAATTATATTGCTATGTTAATGCTATATCATTATATTAATTTAATCACGAGAACAGCAAGTGAATGTTCGTTTCTCATTGGTTACATGTATATCATCTTAAAAGTGGTTTGGACGAATTTTTAATTCCGCCTTTTTCATTGAAAGATTTTTCCACTTGTGCCATTTTATTCCGGCGGCGTTAGTCTGACCCGCACCCAGGTACAGGCCATTGAGATTGCAAGAATGACAGTTCTTGTACCACCAAGCTCCTTTCCACGTTTTAGCACAATTATCAGAACTAACATCATTGTCCTTATCCTTGGTTGTGAACTGCATTGTATTGTGAAAAGCAAGAGAATCACCTGCGTCACCTTAAAAAAAATATATATGTTCATTTCCTTTTTTTTACGATTCCGGAAAACAACTAGGTTTTTGTATCGACTATTGGGAGTCTTGTTTTAGCTAGGCTCTGAAATTTGGATCAAATTAACATTTTGAGAGTGATAGTATAAATTATATAAGGCGAAGACCTAAACAGGCGAATGCGAAACGTAAAAACTATTAATTCAGGAATAAATCACATTTGCACAAAAAAGAAACGAATATAGGGTTTCCTCTGAACAACTTTTCATTCAAACACTGGTTGTTCTCCCAAAGACTGGCAAATGAGGCGGCTGTGAGGAAGTGGAACATCCGATGTGCAATAAACCCTTGGCATGACGAAAACTGGGAAAGTAAAGGGCGGGGCAAAATGATGAAGTAATTTAAAGAATTATAGGCAACAGAGAAGGTATTCTTAAAACAAAACATTCGTTAAACCCTTGTTCAACGCATAAAATATTTTCATGTTGGCCACCTTCTAATATAGGCGTTTTAACACCTAAAAATCATGTGACTTCGCATACCTGAATAACTGCCAATATTCAATCTGTATTTGTCTGATTCATCAGCCACACTAAATGTTCCATATTTAGCATAAGCCTCAGCGCCATTGAAATCCATCAAATCAACTCTTAGAACATTTTGACCAGATTTCCACAAACGATGTATTTTATCAAGGCCCAACCAGAACTCGCCGCTGAGATCACCAAAGCCTGCTTTATAGTCTGACCATCCAAGGTAGAAATCTTGGCTTCCATCTTGTCTTCTTTGGAACACGGTCCAGCCTCCCCTGTCTGTGCTCATATCACAACTGACTTGGAACGATCCCAGGCCATCAGGATCGATGGTATAAACACCATCTGTTCTCACTCCTTTGTTATACAGATCTGCACAACTGGAGCCGGTAGCTATGAAATTGTAAAATATTTAAAAAAATACCGAAAAATATTACGGATACCAATTATTATATTTTTTTCCTAATCAGACGTAATTTAATCATCGAATAAGATCTTCGATGCAGCCAACTTAAACTACTACAGGACATTGGGATAATCTGTGGCTGATATTAATTGGAAAACGTCGTTACTATTTCTTTAAATAAAAAATCATTGGAATACGACCGTTGCCTTCTATGTAGATCAATATTTCTGGATAATGTATTAGCCATAAGATATTTGGAAAATTGGACATGCTAACTTAATTGTTGCTGTCAACAGCTATTTCTTACAATGAGTTCGTTCAGCTTTCTAAAAGGCCTTTTTGAATTTGAATTAAAATTTTCTTAATTCGAGCCTGTTAACCGTCCTTGTTATAAGAAAGTCTCAAATGAGCAACACCTGCCAACTGCATGTGCATGCAAAGACTGCCGTCTGATAACATTCTCTGAGGTAGAATCCTGGTACTGATGTAACAAATACCACGGAGTAAGACGCTTCCATTTCGCAATTCAAACTCTTGAATAAGTGAGCCGTCATATATTATGTACAACTATGCAGTTATCCACTTTTATAAAATGGATGAATAATTGATTCATTGATTTAGTAAATATTTAATATGGCAAAAAGGCCAAAATTAGGTAACAGTAATTGGCTAATCAATTCATTTGCTTTCGCGTTAAAATTTAATCGGGATTTTTTATAAACTTTAATATATCTTTGTGCATATGTTCGATGTTGCGCCATACCTGAATCTTCATTTCCCTGTCCTTCCTTATCATTCTTTGCCTGATAAAAATTATTTTAGAAATACTTAGATGAATTATGTGGAAGGATCGAGTACGCGTGACAAAAAATGCACCGTGAGTTACAAGTTTATCTGAGTTGGGTATTTGTTGCCCTCTTTATATAAGTTTTCGTGTATTTACCTATTTACAATTTCTTATGACCTAATATAATTGGTATAGATTGCATGGATCAATCAACAATCACTACTTACTGTAATTACTTTTGGCAGTAATATTGGGCTTTGAAAACTTCAAAAACACGTACCTCATCGAGCATTAGTGTCCATTCTCCTGTCATTGCGGTGTGATTTCTCTTTCCTGTGACGTTGGTTAGTTGACAGTTCACAACATTCATCTTGTCTCTGTAGTTGAATCCAACACAACCCGGTTCCTTTTGGCAGAGCTCGAGACATTCTATCGAGACAAACCTTGAGTTGACGGTATGATTTGATAACTTTTCATCTGGAGGTAAAGACAGTCCACCTAAAAATAGCCAATATGGTCGCGGAATGTTCAAAGAAGTATTGTTTTAAATTATAGGGATATGAAATACACGTAGATGACCTACCTGTTCTAGCGGTATTGTAAACCCTGGTAGAACAGTTCTGTGAAATGATACATGCGATTTTAATCATCAGTAAGATTAAAGTTGCTATCTTAAACATGATTACACAAATAGGGTCAGCAAATTTTTCATCTCAAAACATGCAGTCGCTGAAATAAAGCATCATCGATGAAGCAGGTAACAAGAAAGGTAGTTACCTGCTGTGTTGTCCTATATATTATTAAAGCAATTTCTTTTGAACCAAAACAATTACAATTATAATGAATTTTTTGATTGCTTAGTCTCCTATTTGTCTTTCTCCATGATATCTCTATGACAATAAATTATGCAGATCAATCTTAATGCACATTTGTGCAACAATCGAGGATTTATCAAAATAATATATTCCTTATTGCATATTTTAAACGTGCTTTTTCAACCGCATGACAGATATATTGCTACCCCCTTTTTAAGTCGGGATATTCAACGCCGAGTTTATGATTGCCATTCAGACATTTGGGGTGTAACTTCACTTTTTTATTTAAACCCAAGGCAATAAAATTGGTCTTTTTTTAAAAAATATAAATTTCTTTTGGATTAATTAGGGGGACGAAAATTATTAAATATTACAATTAAATGTCAAACAAACGATGTTTGTTGACTGGATAAACGTTTCAAAGACAGCATTTACTACTCAATATGACATTCAAAGCAGTACACCCAATGAAATGAAATAGTTAGTGGATCATGCCACCGCTAATAATATCACATTTAATATATGAATATTGGCTATTTTTTGTTATCGATTATATATATATAATCTTTGAATAGATTGTTTTATCACTTTTTGCGATACAAAGGAGTGTATTTTAAACAATGTGTTACACAATTTTAAACAAACTCCTTTTTCTCATGATTTTCAAACATTTGTTCTTTTGATTCGTGGAACAAATTGTGAAACATTTTACATTCTCTTGTCCGTTTTTCCCCTTAGTAATGGTCCATTATTGTAACGTTTTATCAACCGCGAAACTAATTTACAATATATATAATGATTATATAAGAGTGACTTCACTTAAGTTTACGTGAAGTTTTGACTTCGCCGTTCCCAGCTCATTTTAAATTTTGCTTTTAATTGTTGCACAGAAGTAAATCCAGCTCAAAATATTATCTTTCGCTCAAATATCAATACACGAAAGAAACGTTTCATCGTGTCTCAATTATGGTGCAAAAATCTTAAAGTGGCTCGGACGAATTTTCATCTCCGCCTTTTTCAACGAGTAGTACTGCCACTCCTTCCATAATGTTCCCGTTTTGTTTATTTGACCTGCACCCAGGTACAGGCCATTGAGGTTGGCACGCTGACAATCTTTGTACCACCAAGCTCCTTTGCGCCTTGTGGCGCAATTTTTTTTCTCCCAAACGTCATTGTCGCTATCTTTGGTAGTGAACTGCATTTCATTGTGATAAGCAAGAGAATCGCCTGCGTCACCTTTTATGAAAATAAACAAAAATTTATATGTTTAGTTCAATATTTTTTCCCAATTGACTTTTTTGGAAATAGACTAGATATCTAATATATTGTCCTAACTATCTTGCGATAACCTTGTTTTAGCAAAGCTCTGAAAATAGGTTGAAAATCTTAGGTAAGAACATATGCATAGCTCAATGCGGGACATTTAAAAAAATTGTGACAGTTTTCTTGGTCAAGCTTTCAAATAAAACTCTGAGGTGTTCTCGCCTTAGAGAGGCAAGTGAGATGGCTGTGAGGCAGTGTGCCACACCCAGATAAACCCGTGGCGTCTAAAAATTAAAAAAGTAGAAAAAGGAAATGGCGATGTAATGGGCGACATAACAAAGGAAGAGTTTTTAGAAACAAAACATTCGTCAAATCATTGTTCAACAAAAAAAAAATCTTTACAGTACAGCCACCTTTTAATTTACGCGTGGCTATGTTTCAACTGCGGAAAATCTTAAGGAGTGATTTACCTGAATAATTTCCAATATTTAATCTGTATTTGTCTGATTCATCAGCCACACTAAACGTCCCATATTCAGCGTAACGTTCAGTGCCATTGAAATCCATCAAATCAACCCTTAGAACATTTTGGCTAGATTTGGACAAACGATGAATTTTCTCGAGGCCCAACCAGAACTCGCCACTCAAATTACCAAAGCCAGCTTTATAGTCTGACCACCCAAGGAAGAAATCTTGACTTCCATCTTGTCTTCTTTGGAACACAGTCCAACCACTCCCGCCTGTGCTCATATCACATCTGACTGGAAACGACCCCAGGCCATCAGGATCGATGGTATAAACACCATCCTCTTTAGCACCTTGGTTATATAGATGGGCGCAGCTGGTAGCTTTAAAAATAACAACTACTGTTAAATACCACTTCAACCATCTTATTCATACGTGGTTACATGGAACAGAAACCAGTGCCAGCCAACAATTTCTGAAAATATAGCTAGCTATATGACTTAGCGAAGTTTGAAAAATAAAGTGTTAAGTGATACGGATCACGCGTTCATATTTTGATTTTATTGTTATATTTTCCCTACAGTCAGTTTATTCAGGTTGCGAAAATGGCTTTTTGCGTTTGAATTGATCTCTATGAATGTATCAATATATTTGATGCTGCGGCATACCTGGATCCACATTGTCATTTTTTCGCTTCTCTTCCTTATCATTCTTCGCCTGATAAAAATGATTTCAGAAATGTTTAGATGAAGTACACGCAAAATTAGTACGCATGACAAGAACTAACGGACGTGTAGGCTTCAAGTGCATCAGCTGAGTTGGATTTTGTTGCCAAATGTTTTCAGATTCTCCTAATTATTATTATTATCCAAGACCACTACCGCTCACCAAAGGTTGACCTATTCTGCTCGTGATTGGTTAATCTGTAAAAAATTCTCGTTTGATTTGTTTAGGTTACTTGAAAACTAGCGGTGGTAGTAGCATAATCGTAACCTCGCTATTTGCTCTGTGGCTACGATATGGTCCGAATGTGCGATAATGGTCTGATTTATATATATATATATATAGAGGCGAATTATCTGATTGAACGAAAGCCGGATAGCGCTATCCACCGGATAGTGATCTTTTCAACGATTTTAAACATGCCTGAGAAGCAATGAGATTACAGATTTGGAGCAGTTATGAAAAAGAGATCCCAAATTAAAAATACCAAGGTTTAATCTAGGTTATGCTGAAAATCTCAGGGCGATAGAGAAAAAACACTATTCGTGCAAATAGACGAACTATGCGGATCATTCGTGTTGACCGTCGGCTTGTCCGTGTTTACACACAAACGGATTAGAAGACAGACTATCTTTTGCATGCTCATGTTTGTCTAGAAGGATGATTTTTCTTTAGTCCAAATCGGGGCGTTACTGTATTGCAAAGCGTGATTTTGCACATGGCGCAAATTAATGATCATGTAAATTCTTTTTGAGCAGTCATTTTACAGCTGTGGAGATTTCAATTACATACCGCTTCCTCATCAAGATTTAGAAGCCATTCTCCAGTCATTAGGTTGTGGTCTCTTTTTTTTGTGATGTTAGTCAGTTGGCAGTTCACAACGTTGATCTTGTCTCTGTAGTTGAACCCAACACATTTCGGTTGCTTTTGGCAGAGTTCGTAACATTCTATCGGAACAATCCCTGAGTTGACGGTATGATTTGATATGATTTCATCTGGAGGTAAAGTTGAACCTAAAAGTAGCCAATATGCAAGGTTGGGGAGTGTTTGGGAATGGAAAGATCAGTGTTTTTAATTAACAAGACTTCGTGGATTAAAGCAAGGAAACAATATTCTATCTATCTATATCTTTATCTATATATCTATCAATATATATATATATATATATATATATATATATATATATATATATATATATATATATATATATATATATAAATATATATATATATATATATATATATATATATATATATATATATATATATATATATATATATATTGTATTTCATCGCTACACTGTGTTTCACGTACTAGTTTTAGTACGATCCTCAAGCGATAACTATTTACAAAGGTTTACGCGCACTCGTTTTTGATTGATTATGCGAGCGTTTAACGTGCATGTTTGCGTGCCTTAACATTACAAACTTTAAAACTATATATACAGGACTCACCTGTCCGAATAATACTATAAATCCTGGGAGAACAGTTCTGTGAAATGATATATGCAATTTTAACGATAAGTAATATCAAAGTCACTATTTTGAACATGATTACGTGAATAAGGTTGCCAACTTTGCCTTGCTCGAAACACGATAGCTGATATCACGTATTATCTACATAACAAATGAAAATAAACGTAGCTACATGTTGTGTCGTCTTATTTATTATTGATATTATCATACATTCATGCGGTATTCTCGTTTTTGATTGGTCGAAACCCTCCAAATAAATCTCTATATCCGGTTAAATTTCATATTCTCAGCAGTTGCGACGTGACCCAAGGGATATCGATTTTTTTGGATCAAACTTCGCATGATATCTTGTTTTGTCTTATATTTCTTTCCTGCGTGGTATTAAGGGTGATTATTATACATTTTGTGTGTTTTGTCGTTCTTGATTGGTCAGAAAGCAACGGTTATAATTCTCAATATTCTGTAAAAAATTCTTAATTTTAGCTGCTGGCATGCTCCCGTCCAATAAATATTGTTTTTGGATCGAACCTATATAACTGGGACTCTCTCATGCCCAGTCCTTGGCGCGCCAGCAACTTGAACCCAAAAGAGCGTGAAAATAAAATAAACATTAATAAATTTCGTTTAATCGTTTCTGATGCACGTCTTCAGCTTCGGCAGATAACATTGACCTTGGTCTGAATAATTCTTGATATCATGCCCGGCCTCACCCAATAATTGTTTATTAATATTGAAAGCGTGAATACATCATTTGATGTATTGGATTTGATGAATACACTTGACTTGATGAGCAAAAAGGTTGATGAAGATTATTAAACAAAATTAATTTCATATGAAAATTACACATAAATCATCTTTATACAAATAAATACTCGGATATTAATTAAATGTCACAAACACTATAATTTTAATTGTGTAGGCTCGATCAGGCGAGGTCTACACGCGTTAGCCAAATTATATAATAAGAGTAAATAAAGAATAAAAGAATATAACAAACGTTATAAGCAATGTCGTTTTTTCGTATTTATAGCAAATAAATTATTACTAAAGATTATGAAACAAATTTATTAAATATCAGGTGAAAATTGCTTTTCATAGATCAATACGGATCATGCATGGACAGCACTTACAAATCAATATTACATACACAACACTACACATAAATCATTAGATATTAATTATATCCCGCTGTGATTTTAATTGCATTTCTTGCGAGGACCGTAAACGTGTAAGCAAAATTACATATTAAAAAAGGATATAACAAACTTTATCAGCAATGTTGTCTATTTCGTATTTATGAACAGATAACGAATAGTGCATTAGTGCTGTTGCCGGACCTCGAAAATATAGAAGGCTCTCCTGTCCTAATGATACTATAAATCCTGGGAGAACAGTTCTGTGAAATGATACATGAAATTTAGACTGTTTTAAAGCTGGAGTAATCCACGGCTTGTCCGTACTGTGGACCTTTATTACTGGAAAGTGTTAGTCAATTCCTGAACTAAGTTCATGCGTAGATGCATTGTTTTCAACAAATTGAGACAAATAATAATCAAATCCAATATATGGTCACCTCCTATTATATAAAGTTTACTAATATCAGTCATTTTTTCATATTGACGTTCAAATCTACAATGTCACAGACTTTACTTTGCCTTCCTCAGCTCATTTAAAATTTCGTTTTCAACTTTTAGTCGTAAAATAAGGTCAAAACATTCAAATACGCTCTTTCTATACCATTATAATTTCGTCACGGAAACAACAAGTGAATGTTCGTCTCTCAATTGTGGCTTGGACGAATTTTCATCTCAGTCTTTCTCATCGAATAAGTATGCCACTTGTTCCATCTTATTCCGGTGGAACTATTCTGACCTGCAGCCAGATACAGGCCATTAAGGTTGGAAGTAAGACAACTTGTATACCACCAAGCTCCTTTGCGCCTTGTGGCACAATTTTTATTCTCCCAAATATCATTGTCGCTATCCTTGGTAGTGAACTGCATTTGATTGTGATAAGCAAGAGAATCCCCTGCGTCACCTTTCATAAGCATAAACAAAAAATAATATGTTCAGTTCACAATTTTTTCCCAATTGACTTTTTTTAAACAACCAGAATATCTAGTATCTTTTCTCAAAAGTGCTTGAAAAGTCGTAAATAAGACGGATGCTGGTGGATCATGAATAACTCATCAAGTGACATGTAAGAAAAGTAAAATTAACGTTATCCTATGACTACCTTTTAAGTAAAACAGTGCGGTTTTCTCGCCCAAGAGGGGCAAGTGAGGTGGCTGTGAGGAAGTGTGACACACCCAAGATAAACGCGAGGCGTCCAAAAATTAGGAAAATAGAAAAAGGAAATGACGATGTAATTGAAGGACAGAATGAAGAAGAGAAATTTAAAACAAAACATTTTTCAAATCATTGTTCAACGCAGAAAAAATAATGCGTGGCTATGTTTCAACTGCCGAATATCCTAAGGAGTGATTACCTGAATACTTGTCGATAGTCAATCTGTATTTATCTGATTCATCAGCCACACTAAACGTTCCATACTTAGCGTAACGTTCAGTGTTATTGAAATCCATCAAATCGACTCTTAGAATATTTTGCTTAGATTTGGACAAACGATGTATTTTATCAAGGCCCAACCAGAACTCGCAAGTCAAATTACCAAAGCCTGCTTTATAGTCTGACCATCCAAGGTAGAAATTCTGGCTTCCATTTTGTCTTCTTTGAAACACGGTCCACCCACCCCCGTCTATGCTCATATCACACAAGACTTGGAACGACCCCAGACCATCAGGATGAATGGTATAAACACCATTTTTTCTCGCCCCCAGATTATAATGCTGGGCGCAGCTGGTAGCTATAAAATTAAAGAAAATATAGTGGAATATTTAAAAATAACAATTACTTTTAAATATCACTTCATTCATCTTGTTCATACGTGTTTTTATGGAACAGAAACCAGTGCCAGCCAACAATTTCTGAAAACATATATGACCTAGCGAAGTCCGAAAAATAACGTCTTAAGTAATACTGATCACACGTTCATATTTTGATTTTATTTTTATATGTTCCTTACAGTCAGTTAATTCAGGTGGCGAAAATAGCTTTTTGTGTTTGAATTGATCGATATGAATGCATCTATATGTTTGATGCTGCGGCATACCTGAATCCATGTCATTTTTCCGCCTCTCTTCCTTATCATTCTTCGCCTGATAAAAATGATTTCAGAAATGCTTAGAGGAAGTATACACATGCAAAATGAGTACGCATGACAAGAGCTTCAGATTCTCCAAATGATTTACCTCCTCCGCAGGCGCTAGGGAGCATTTTGGACGATTTCCTTCGTCTCTTGCTTTCGTTTCTAAATTTCTAACTGCAAAATATCACCGCCTGCCATATTTGCCCGAAAAGGGCTTACGGAGGAGGTAGCCTAATTATCCAAAGGTTGACCTATTCTGCTCGTGATTGGTTAATCTGATAGAATTTTCGTGAGGTTTGTTTAGAACCCTCAAACGTAGCGGTGGTAGTAGTGGGAGTCTAATCTGAACCTCACTATTTGCTCTGTCGCTACGACAATAATGGCCTGATTTATGTATTATACTATAGACACGGATTATCCGTCTGGGGCCGGATAATTTTTGAACGAAAGCCGGATAGCGCCTTCAAATGTTTAAAACATGCCTAAAAAGCAAAGAATTTGCCGATTTGGAGCCAACAGTTATGAAAGAGATCCCCTAACTTAAAATTACCAAGGTTTATTCTAGGTTATGCGGAACAACGGGAAATCTCAGGGCCATTAAAAAAAATACTATCCGTTGGATAGTGCTATCCGCCTTTCATACAACCGACCCCTGGATGAATGATCTGTCTGAGTATAAACACACAACAAACTATCTAGACGAACTATGCGGACGCGATTATGTCAAGCGAAACTGAATCGCGCGTTTCCCCAATTGGGAAATTGTTTATGTGAAAAAAGAGAGCATAAGAGCCGTTTTATGATCAATTTTTCGTAGCTCTCCCCACCTCGTATTTATATATACTATCACTAACAGACGAATGATGCGTCAAGAGGAACTATATTCATTCAAATTCGTCCAAACAGACGAACCACGCGGATCATACGTGTTGACCGTTGATCCATCGGTTTGCAGTGTATACACACAGACGGATTAGAAGACAAACCATCATTTGCTATTGCCCAAGTTCGTCAAGATGAATGACTCGTCTCTAGTATAAATCGGGGAATTACTGTGTTGCAAAGCGTGATTTTGTACATAGCGCAAATTAATGACATGAATTCTTTTTGAGCAGTCATTTTACAGGTGTGGAAATTTCAATATCATACCGCTTCCTCATCGAGCATTAGAAGCCATTTTCCAATTATTAGGTTGTGGTCGGCTCTCTTTTTTGTGATGTTGGTCAGTTGACAGTTCACAACATTGGTCGTGTCTCTGTAGTTGAATCCAACACATTTCGGTTGCTTTTGGCAGAGTTCGTAACATTCTATCGGAACAATCCCTGAGTTGACGGTATGATTTGATATGATTTCATCTGGAGGTAAAGTCGAACCTCCTAAAAGTAGCCAATATGCAATGTTGGGGAGTGTTTGGGAATGGAAAGATCAGTATATATACGACTCACCTGTCCTAATGACACTATAAATCCTGGGAGAGCAGTCCTGTGCAATCATACATGCAATTTTAACGATAAGTAATATCAAAGTCAGTATTTTGAACATGATTACGTGAATAAGGTCGCAAACTTTGCTTTGCTCGAAACACGGTTGCTGATATCACGTATTATCGACATAACAGATGAAAATAACCTACATGTTGTGTTGTCTTATATATTATTGATATTATCATGCATTCATACTGTATTCTCGTTTCTGATTGGTTGAAACCCTAGAAATAAATCTCAATATGCGGTTAAATTTCATATTCTCACCAGTTGTAACGTCATAACAAGGAATATTGATTTTTTTTATCAAACTTCGCTGATATCATGCTTAACCTTGTCAAATAATTGTATATTGTTTAGTCTCATATTCCTTTAGTTTCATATTTCTTTTCGTGGCATTAAGAGGGATTATTATACACTTTGTGTGTATTCCCGTTCCTGATTGGTCATAAAGCAACGGTTGATTCTCAATATTTTATATTTAATACGTAATTTCAGCTGCTGGCGTGCTCGCGTCCAATAATTATTTTTTGGATCGAACTTGCATGCAACCAACCAAGTTGCGCCAGCAACTTGCATGCATGAACTCAAAAATGCGCGAAAATAAAATAAACATTAATGAGCTTCGTTTCATCGTTTCTGATGTCTTCAAATGTAAAGTAAAACAATTATTGGATTCAGCTTCGCTTCAGCAGATAACGTTGACCTTGGTCTGAATAATTCTTGATATCATGATCAGCCTCATCCAATAATTGTTTATTAATTGAATGTGTGAATACATCATTTGATGTATTGGATTTGATGAATACATTTGACTTGGTGAATTAGGCATTGTGTCAGATTAACATATAGTAATAACTCTTCAAATGGTGACTTCATTCTTTTCGTGATCAAAACTTTAACCTTTGGGACGAAAATTGATCTCCATGTAGATTTCAGAAATTAATTCTTTATGAACTAACAGGTTGATGAAGATTATTTAACAAAATTGATTTTATATAGACATTACACATAAATCATCATTATACAAATAAATCCTCGGATATCAATTAAATATCACGCACTATGATATTAATTATGTAGGCTCAGGCGAGGTCTACACACGTTAGCCAAATTATGTAATAAGAGTTAATAAAGAATATAAGAATATAACAAACGTTATAAGCAATGTCGTTTTTTGTCGTATTTATATGCAAATAAATTATTACTAAAGATTATTAAACAAATTTATTAAATATCAGGTGAAAATTTTTTCATAGATCAATATGGATCATGCATGGACAGCACTTACAAATCAATATTACATACAGAGCACTACACATATACTTCATTAGATATTAATTATATCCCGCTGTGATCTTAATTACATCTTTCGCGAGGACTAAACGTGTAAGCAAAATACATAATAAAAAAGATATAACATACTTTATCAGCAATGTTGTCTATTTCGTATTTATAAACAGATAAAATCAACGAATAGTGCATTAGTGCTGTTGCCGGACTTCGCTCTCTTGAACATGATTACATAACTGAAATAACGTATTATCGACATAACAGGTGAAAATAAACGCATGCTAAGTCGTCTTATATATTATTATTATCATTATTATACTTAATTCCGCCATTTTCTTTGATTACTAAATTAGCATAGACATAGTATGAACGCTTACGCACTAATATTTCATTTCTTACTTTCCATCGAAAATGGCGCCAAAGCTTTTGGTCTCCGAGTAGAAAGCTCTCTGTCTCTCGACTATAGACTGTTTTAAAGCTGGAATAATCCACGGCTTGTCCGTACTGTGGAGCTTAATTACTTTAGATGGAAAGTGTAAGCCAATTCCTGAATTAACTAAGTTCATGGGTTAAGGAAGAGCCGAAGAGGCCAACTCTGAGGTAGATGCAGTGTTTGCAACATTTTGCAAACCACTCATGAGTCATGTGCTGAGCAACACCAGCCAAAAGCGTCACATGCCGACTGCATGGTGAAAATAGCGCGTGCTCTTCTTGGTTGTATTTTTGCCGTAAAAGACAAAAGCAGACACACCACCACCTATGTGAAACCCATTTTCCTTAGCTATGGTTGCTTTTTTTGCAATGCATCGAATGTAGAGGCAGCGCAATTATGATCGTTAATATTTTGAACTTTTTCAATGCTTATCTGTTGGTCAGAGACTTTCTTCACCCAGCTCACATGGTTGTTTTGAATTTCCGACTAAGCAGTTATTACTTTGTGGGAAATGACCCGTGTTACAGGCTTTATCAATATGGGCCTGGCAGCTTTGATCCTTCGCAACCTTTATCATTTTATCGCGTAGCCGACATGCTGTTTGTCTCCGCCATATTGATATTATGATTGATATATTATTGATTGACATAAAATTGATATCATGTTTTAAAAAAATTTACACAATGTTAATCTACTAGAAATACATGCATGCAGCAACCCCTCGCCTCGGTTAAACGAAATTAGTAATGATGTTGGATGGTAACATGATAGTTAAGGAAAAAATACGTTTTGAGATGGAACGCATTGTGGAAAATTGCTTGTTATTGTCCGACTATCTAATTCGCCCAATGGTCAATCATTATGACGTTTGTTAAACTTGATAACTCATTTAAAATATTACAAAAAGTTTATTAATATCAGTCATTTTTTCATGTTTACGTTCAAATCTACAATGTCACAGACTTGAATTTGCCTTCCTCAGCTCATTTAAAATTTTGTTTTCAGCTGTTCGCCGTAAAATAAGGTCAAAACATTCAGATACGCTCAAACATCAAATTACTGCTATATATTGTTGCTATACCATTATAATATCATCACGGAAGCAACAAGTGAATTTTCGTTTCTCAATTGTGGTTCGGACGAATTTTCATCGTGGTCTTTTTCATTGAATAAAAATGCCACTTGTTCCATCTTATTCCGTTGCCACTATTCTGACCTGCAGCCAGATACAGGCCATTGAGGTTAGAATTATGACAACTTTTGTACCACCAAGCTCCTTTGCGCTTCTTGGCACAATTATCTCTCCAAGCATCATTGTCATTATCCTTGGTAGAGAACTGCCTTTGATTGTGATAAGCAAGAGAATCACCTGCGTCACCTTTTATGAATATAAACAAAAAATAATATGTTCAGTTCACTATATTTTTTCCTAATTGACTTTTTTGAAAGAACTATAATATCTAGTATCTTGTCTTTAGTATCTATCGAGAACCTAGTTTTAGTGAGGCTCTGAAAAAATGTTGAAAATTTTAGGTAATATATAGGTATAAATCTTGAAAGAGGTAATATACATCACGTGAAGAGCTAATCAGGACGGATGCTGGTGGAAGTAAGAACATGAATAACTCAATGAGTGACATTTAAAAAATGAAGGACTACCTTTCAAGTAAAACAGTGCAGTATTCTCGCCCAACAGGGGAAAGTGGGGTGACTGTGAGGAAGTGAGAAGCACCACAGATAAACCCGAGGGGCCCAAAAATTAGGAAAATAGAAAAAGGAAATGATGATTTAATGGAAGGACAGAATGAAGGAAGAGTTTCAAAACATTCGTCAAATCATTGTTCAACGCAGAAAAAATTACGCGTGGCTATGTTTCAACTGCCGAATTTCCTAAGGATTTTCCTAAGTGTTCACCTGAATACATGTTGATAGTCAATCTGTATTTGTCTGATTCATTAGCGACACTAAACGTTCCATATTTAGCGTAACGTTTAACGCCATTGAAATCCATCAAATCGACTCTTAGGACATTTTGCTTAGATTTAGACAAACGATGTATTTTATCAAGGCCCAACCAGAACTCGCCGCTAAAATTTCCAAAGCCTGCTTTATAGTCTGACCATCCAAGGTAGAAATCTTGACTTCCGTCTTGTCTTCTTTGAAACACGGTCCACCCACTCCCGTCTGTGCTCATATCACACAAGACTTGGAACGATCCCAGACCACCAGGATCAATGGTATAAACGCCATCTTTTCTCGCCCCAAGTTTATAATGATGGGCGCAGCTGGTAGCTATAAATATTAAAGAAAACACAGCGGAATGTTCAAAAATAACAATTACTTTAACTCATCACTGCATTCATCTTTTTCATACGTGGTTAAATGATACTGATTTTTTTTCTGCTGCCAGCAACTGTTACTTACAATCAGTTTATTCAGCTTGTGAAAATGGCTTTTGTGTTTGAGTTCGCACAAATTTGGCATTTTTGCCGCAATCAAGTTTTTTTTATCTATATGTTTGATGCCGCGGCATACCTGAACCCACATTGTCATTTTTACTCTTTTCTTCCTTGTCATTCTTTGCCTGATAAAAATGATTTTAGAAATGCTTAGATGAAGTATAGGCAGAATGAGTACGCATGACGAGAACTAACCGACCTGTGGGCTTCAATTTCATCATTTGAGTTGGGATTTTTGGCCTTCCTTAAATATTTCCACATTTATTCTCCTAATCATTATTATTAAAGACCGCTACCAGAGGTTGACCTATCCCGCTTGTCATTGGTTAATCTGATAGAAATATCGACATATCGTGTGATTGGTTTAGGTCACGTCAAAAGTAGCGGTGGTAGTAGTGAGAGACTAATCTGAACCACGCTATTTGCAGTGTGGCTACGACTGTAAATTGACCCGATTTACACCAGAGACGGATTATCCGTCTGCAAGAACGTGTGTCGGTGACAGATCATTCGTCTGAGAGTATAAACAAACGAAAAACTATCTCGATGAACTGTGCAGACGCGAATATACCAAACGAAACAGAATCGCGTGTTTATAAAGTGCATGGAATTTGAGAAATTTTTTATGTGGTAAAAAGAGTGCACAAATTAAGGCCGTTTTATGATTAATTTTTCGTAGTTCTCCCCATTTCGAGTTTATACTAACAGACGGATGATGCGTCAAGACAAACTACCATCCAAATTCGTCCAAATAGATGAACTATGCAGATAATTCGTGTTGACGGATGATCGGTCTGTTTGCCCGTATCTACACACAGACGAATCAGAAGACGAACTATCTTTCTCTTGCCCAAGTTCTTCTAGACGGATTATCCATCTCTAGTATAAATCGGGCCATTGATGCATTGGACAGCGCTATATATTGTACATGGCGCAAGTAAATGATCATGTGAATTCTTTTTGAGCAGTCATGCATTTTGCAGCTGTAGAAATTTCAATAACATACCTCATCGTCATCAAGCATCAGAATCCATTTTCCAATCATTAAGGTTTGATCTCTCCCCTTTGTGATGTTGGTCAGTTGACAGTTCACAACATTGATCGTTTCTCTGTAGTTGTATCCAACACATTTCGGTTCTTTTTGGCAGAGCTCGTAACATTCTATTGGGACAATCCCTGAGTTGACGGTATGATTTGATATGATTTCATCTGGAGGTAAAGACGAACTTCCTGAAAAGTAGCCATTATGCAAGGTTGAGGACGAAAACAAAGAAAAAATGCAGCAACGAAAAAAAAAATAGGGACAACTCACCTGTCCTAATGATACTATAAATCCTGGGAGAACAGTTCTGTGAAATGATACACGCAATTTTAACAATGAGTAATATTGAAGTCGCTATCTTCAACATGATTGCATGCATGAATGAGGTCGCCAACTTTGCCTTTCCCCACATGCGGTGGCTGAAATAACGTATATCGACATAACAGGTGAATTAAAATAAACGTACGTGTTGTGTTGTCTTATATATATTATTAATATAATATTTTTAAACAATTCAAACAATGCGTTAATCCATAATAAATTTGGTTGTTTATAGTCGCGTATTTCCTTCCTTGCGTGGTATTAAGAAGGTTTAATTGAATGTGTGGATTCAACAGACTTCATGAATTGGGCCATGTGTCAGATTAACTTAATAAGTAACCAAACTCTTCGAATTGTAACTTTTCGAGAGCAAAACATTAACCTTTGGGTAGAAAATTGGTCTCCATGTAGATTACAGAGGTTTCTTTATGAGCTAACAGGTTGATGACGATTATTAAACATAATTTAATTTTATGTGAAAATTACACATAGTCATAAATCATTACCGCAGATAAATCCTCCGATATTAATTAAATATCACACCATAATATTAATTATGCTTCACGGGAGGTCTATACGCATAAGCCAAATTGCATAATAAATGAAGATTGATTAAACAAATTTATTAAATGCCAGGAGAAAATTGTTTTCCATAGATCAATACGGATCAAGGCCAGCACTTACAAATCAACATTACATACAGAACACTACACATAAATCATTAGATATCAACTGAATATATCACACTGTGATATTAATTACATCTTTAGCGAGAACTACAGGCATAAGCAAAATTACATCTTAAAAAAAGACTAATAACAAGTTTTATCGGCAATGTCGACGTCGTCTATTTCGTATTTATAAGCAAATAAAATGCGCGAATAGTGCATACGGACTTCGTAAATTTACAAAGGAGGGTTTTTTCACCAATGCGTTAAAATATTGTGTTTTCTTCTCCCCCATTTTCAAACATTTATTCGCTTCATTTATGGAACGCATTGTGTAAAATTGCCTCGGCCGACTTTCTAACTCGCCTAATGACGTTTCATTAAACCGTATACCTGATTTCAAATATTATATAATGATTACATTGTAAATATCAGTAGATAAATTTTTTCATGTTTCCGTTCAAATCTAATTATTGAATGTCAGACTTGACTTTGTCTTCCTTAGCTCATTTAAAATTTTGCTTTCAGCTGTTGGTCGTAAAATTAAGGTCAAAACACTCAAATACGCTCAAACATCAAATTACTGCTATATATTGTTTCTATACTATTATAATTTCATCACAGAAGCAACCAGTGAATGTTCGTCTCTCAATTGTGGTTTGGACGAATTTTCATCTCAGTCTTTTTCATTGAATAAAAATGCCACTTGTCCCATTTTATTCCGGTGGCACTTTTCTGACCTGCAGCCAGGTACGGGCCATTGAGGTTGGAAGTAAGACAACTTTTGTACCACCAAGCTCCTTGAAACTGCGTTGCACAATTGCCAGTCGAAACATCATTGTCATTATCCTTGGTTGAGAACTTCATTTGACTGTGATAAGCAAGGGAATCACCTGCGTCACCTTTTAACAAAATATACAAAACGTAATGAGTTGAGTTCACTATTTTTTATTCTAATAGATTCTTTTGAAAAGTGGTTAGATATCTAATGCCTTGCAAGAGCCTTGTTTTAGCGAGGCTCTGAAAATTTCGGTTCAAATAAGGAAAAAATGTGGAAAAAACGTGAAGAGCTAAACGAGGTGTATGCTGGAAGTAAGAACATATATAACTGAACAATAACTCAATAGGTGAAATTTGAGGAAAAATGAGGAAAAAAATGAATTTATAGAACATCTCCAACCAAACACTGGACTGTTACGCTTAATTCCAAGAGGGGGGAATGGGGTGGTGAATGAAACGTTTTTAAAATATTCGTGACCTTATGATTTAAACGTTGCTATGTTTCAACAGCCGAAAATCGTAAAAAGTTGTTTACCTGAATAATTGTTTACCTGAATAACTGCCAATATTCAATCTGTATTTTTCTGACTCATCAGCCACACTAAACTTTCCATATTTAGCGTAACGTTCAGTGCCTTTCAAATCCATCAAATCAACTCTTAAAACATTTTGGCCAGAATTGGACAAACGATGTATTTTATCCAGGCCCAACCAGAACTCGCCACTCAAATTACCAAAGCCTTCTTTATAGTCTGACCATCCAAGGTAGAAATCCTGGCTTCCGTCTTGTCTTCTTTGAAACACGGTCCAGCCACCCCCGTCTCTGCTCATATTACACAAGACTTGGAACGATCCCAAGCCATCAGGATCAATGGTATAAACGCCATCTTTTCTCACCCCTATTCTATAATGATGGGCGCAGCTGGTTGCTATATAAGAAATAATTAAAAAGTGTACAGAATACTTAAGAATGGCAATTACGTACTTTAACTCTCTATCACTTATTTCATCTTGTTCATACGTGATTATATTGCGTAAAAACCAGTGCCAGCGGACAATTTCGGAAAATAAACATGACAAAACAAGGTCCGAAAAATAATAGATTGAAGAAGACAAATCAAGAATTTATATTTTGATTTTAATGTTGCTTTCAGCAGCAGTTCCTTAGTCCTGTACAAACGAGCGAGTTTTTCTTATCAAGTTCTCCATGGTATTTTTTTTTGTCAGCAGACGAAAACTTTGGCAAAATTTCCTTGACAATAAGCCTTGTTCAAAAGAATAGTTTCCTAGATTTTCAAACAGGAAAATTATTCTGGTTTACGGTCGTCAAGCAAAAATTGACAAAGAATATTGCGCAGTGGGGAACTAGGAAAATGAAGTTAGTGATTAAATAATTAATTGATTGGGTAAATACTTCATTATTATTACGAAGGCGCCGAAACAGGCGACAGTAATTTGCGCTGATCAATTCTAATTTTAATTTTGATTTGAATAGATACTCTAAAAATTTCATTTTTAGCAGTTTAGTAATTTAGTCACATTCAATATATTATACTGTATTAATTATTTTCTTTGTTGTAAATCCATTGTATTTTTTAACTAAAGATGGATTTTAAAGATTATATATAACATATTATATGTATCATTCATTCGCTTTTATTAAAATTTGATAAGAATATTTCCCTCATTCTAGAATTCTTGCACATATGTTTAATTTGTTGCGGCATACCTAAATACCCATTTTCATTTTCTCTCTTTTTTTCCGTATCATTCTTTTCCTGATAAAAACGATTTCAAAAATGCTTAAGCGAATTATATACGGAGAAGGATTACGCATTACGAGAATGATGTTCAAATAGTGGATACACGGGTTCAAATAGTGGATTGGACATCGTAATATATATTGTACGTGGGTCAATCAACAATCGTGTGATTCCTTTTCAAAGAACAATTTCAATATTGAAGTTTTCATACCGCTTTGTCATCGAGCATTAGTATCCATTCTCCTTCTCCTGCCATTACGGTGTGACTTCTGATGTTGGTCAGTTGGCAGTTCACAACATTGATCCTGTCTCTGTAGTTGAATCCAACACATTTCAGTTCCTTTTGGCAGAGTTCGTAACATTCTATCGGAACAATCCCAGACATGACGGTATGATCTGATATGATTTCGTCTGGAGGTAAAGACGAAACTCCTAAAAGTAGCAAAAGGTTTAAGGAAGAAAGAAGCATAACTGTTTTGGAACAAAGCATTATTGAAAGATTACAAACATAGACGACTTCACCTGTTCTAATGATATTGTAAATCCTGGAAGAGCAGTTCTGTGCAGCAATAAATGAAATTTTAACCATCAGTAATACTGATAACTTAAACATGATTGCATGAGGTCGCCAACTGCGGTTTCTTCAACATGCAGTATAGCTGAAATAATGTATTATTGGCAAAGCAGGTGAAAAAGTATACATGCCCTCTGTGACATCTTATATATTATTAACATAATTTCTATTCAGCCATTTACACAATCATATAAAGGCTATCAAAAGCTAAATTAATATTTACATTACAATTAAGATGATTAAATCATCTTACAATTATAACTAATTGCAAGTAATTCATATTTCGTAAAAATCTTCTTTCATGCATGGAGAAAAAACGTGAAACTATACATAAAAATCTATACTTTCATTGATAATGCAATACGATGTTAAAAAAAGACTATCTGAATTTTTTGTTCTTTTTGATGATAACATAAATACTTGGACTAATATTAAAACGTTAAGTTCTCCTCATCAAAATTTAATAGTTGTAAATTTTATTGTTCAATCTCGTATTTCTGCACTAATACGCCGAATTTTACGTGCCGAATACGATATAATGACAATAGATAATCATCTAGAAAGCATCACTCTCTATTATTTTTCATGTATATGTATTTTATTTTTCACGTAAGTAGTTTTATGTTCACGGTGTTATTATATCAAAATTACAGGAATATAAACGTCACGAGTATCATAAATTCCTAATTGCATGTACGAGCAACATCGCAGTATTTGCATGAAATTACAATACAAAATCGTCAGATGTTTTTAGTCCATTCTCGCAATCTATTCTGGGAAACAATTTTCAATGCAAGCATCACCAGCAACAATGTCAAACACAGCTCAATGTTTTGTGTTTTTCTGGGTATTTTCGTTTATTCTTCTGGCCTTTCTTAGTTCTTTAAGGGCGGTTTGGTTTGTTTAGAAATCTCCGTTTTCGCCATTTTGTTTATTTTGGAAATGGATTCATTAATTATACTAAACTAATGAAATTACTGTACTCATCTGCGCCAATCAACGTCGAGTGATTTTGTCATGCAAATGACAAAAGCATTTATCATCCTAATCATATGTCCGTCATTGATTGATTAAGAGAAGATATTTTTCTATGTCGCCTAATATATGCTAAAAATCTCAGTTTATATCTGGGGGCCCCAGAATCACATGTATTCACTCCGCATGCGCTTGATACGACCAGACCTCGTGCAAAAATCACAGGCGGAAAACTTGAAAATGAACGAGGTAAACAAAAGAGTGTTCAGTTTATATCTCAGTCAAAAAAGCCAAATTCTATGCAATTTTCACTCATGCATATTGTCTCGAGTTTTATTAAGCTCTGTAATATTTTATTTATCTTATTCAAATAAGGTCTTCAAAGCAGCTAGCTGCCTTGCAACAGTTTGTGCCGATCTGTTATTACTGATAAAGTAATTTGAGTAGCATATGAATTATTAGTTTGGGAGGCGAAAGACAGTTTGTGCATGATCATTCATGTAGCACCAAATTCATTTTCACAATTCAAAACTTAGATGTTACTAGCTACAATGCATAATCAAGGCTTTTTATACATAATTTATTTGTTTTACCTGAATTCATATATACCGCTTCATCGTCGACCAGTAGTAACCATTCTCCTTCTCCAGTCATTACGGTGTGGTCTCTTCTTTTTGTGATATTGGTCAGTTGGCAATTCACAACATTGATCTTGTCTCTGTAGTTGAATCCAACACATCCCGGTTCTTTCTGGCAGAGTTCGTAACATTCTATCGGGACAATCCCTGAGTTGATGGTATGACTTGATATGATTTCATCTGGGGGTAAAGACGATCCTTCTAAAAGTAGGCAATATAATTATTTTAAGGAAAGAAAGGCTTCAACACTGAAACTTGAAAAATATCACCTGTTCTAATCGTGCTATAAATCCTGGGAGAACATTGCTGTGAAGAGATACATGCAATTTCGACCAGTAGTAAGATCAATGTTTTTATCTTCAGCATTATTGCACGAGGTCGTTAGCTCTGCTTTCTTTGACATGCAGTTGCTGAAATGACACTTTATCGTTAAAGCAGGTTATAATAAACGTACAATGTCATAAGACTTCGCATTAAGGTGCTAGCGATAATCATCATATTCCATTGATAAAAATTAAAGGTAAATAGTTCCAAATTAAAAGTTAATCTGAAAATATTGTCCGCAACCTAGGCATCTGCATCTGATGAAAAAACCAAATAGAACTGTCTGAGTGTAAACGTTTATATTTATGGCGGAAACGTTAAAATTGCAATTAAGCTCAAAAATAAATAGAATGTTGAAATATTACTGTTAATTTACATTCCATTCACATTAATTCCAGTCGGCTCGTGTCGTTTGTTTTCCTTCATTTTCTTTAAAAGTTACCGCGAATGTTCCTTAATTAACTCTATATCATATGAAGCTATACGAATAAAAACGTAAACAAAATTTCCTGACTGGTTAAAACGAAACTCTTTCTTGTTGCACAGGTTCACCCGCAAACTCTTCTATTACATTATTATTTCTATATCATAATTCTATCACAAAGCAATAAGTGTGTACATATGTTCATTTCTTGGTGTCCATGCATTTTAAAACTGGTTTGGATGAATTTTCATCTCCGTTTTTTTCATCGAGTCGGATTTCCATTGGTTCCATCTTATTCCGGTGCCAATTGTCTGACCTGCACCTAGGTACTGGCCATTGAGGTTGGAATCATGACAATGTTTGTACCACCAAACTCCCTTGTAGTTCGTAGCACAGTTACCAGAGTGTTCATCATTGTCGCTATCATTAGTAGTGAACTTCATGTTATCATGATAAACCAGCGAATCCCCTGCGTTACCTGTTAAAAATAAACGGAAAGTTATGTGTACAATTTTCTAGTACAATATTTTGTGCGCACAAACATTACGTTAAAGATAAATCCGATACTATTGCAATGTATACATAAGTTAAGCCTTTAACAAGGAGAATGCAATCAATAAGAAATAAAAAAAATTGTAATGATAAAATTCGGAGCGTTTTATTAATGTTTAAAATGCGTAAAGAGAAAGAAGGGTCGGGATACTATAAACATTCTGAGAAATTATGTTTTTCACTTTCCATTTACGCCTACTTTAAGAGCGTGTACTATACTAATAGGAGAAAATTTTGGCGCATTGTTTTGGAACGAGATTTTCTTGGGAAAACCGGAAGCAGGTTTTACGGTTTAACTGATTGTGCGTAGGAAGGTTCACTGGTCCTCATTTTAATATAACTTCACCAGAATTTTAGGGCAAAATTTGAAAGCAATCATTGTTCGTAGCGGAAGGGTTCTCACAAGACAATCAAATTTTCCATTTTCTGGTAACTCATGTAGGTTTCGTATACCTGAATAACTGCCAATATTCAATCTGTATTTGTCTGATTCATCAGCCACACTAAACGTTCCATATTTAGCATAACGTTCAGTGCCATTAAAATCCATCAAATCAACTCTTACAACATTTTGACCAGATTTCCACAAACGATGTATTTTATCAAGGCCCAACCAGAACTCGCCTGTAAGATCACCAAAGCCTGCTTTATAGTCTGACCATCCAAGGTAGAAATTTTGACTTCCATCTTGTCCTCTTTGGAACACGGTCCAGCCACCCCCATCTGTGTTCATATCACATCTGACTTGGAACGATCCCTGGTTGTCAGGATTGATGGTATAAACACCGTCCTCTTTATCGCCTTGTTATATAGATCGGCGCAGCTTCTAGCTATAAAAATGTGAAATATATAGGGTAAGATTACTTGATTAAGCTTCTCTCATCTTGTTCTTCTCAAATGTGATTGAAATGACTTTGCTGTTTATTCACATTTCAGACTACGACTTCGTAAACATTAAATTAATGTCCCAACATGAAAGGTAGAATGAAATAATTTTTCGTGCCTGTATTGTTCAGCGGAGTAGTTTTTGTCGACGATAGATAATATGAAGTTGTTGAAGGTTCAGGAGTGACCGGTAATTGTACGAGAGGATTTGACGTTAAATTAACACTTTGGCGTAGTCCTTTACTTGAATATCCTGAAATAACTCGCATGAGAAATATCAGGGGCCATTTGTTTGAAAGCTGCATGGATAGCACTATCCACCGGATAGTGATTTTTTCAAATGCTTTAAAATCTCCCGTTGTTTGCTAACTTTAATTTAATCTTAGTATACCTAAATCGAGGATTCTCTTGAATAATTGTTGGTTCCCAAGATTAAGTTTATAGCTATATATCGCTTTTCGAGCATTTTTAGAACGGTTGAAAAATTCATTGTCCGGTGGATAGCGCTAGCGAGCCTTCGTACAACCGGCCCCAGATTTTTATTTAACCCTGTTTTAGCTCCTTTCAATCTTAGTTATTGAAATGACACTGCTGTTTACTTTTATTTCGTAAACATAAATGATTAAATGTCCCATTCCTAACATCGTCAAAGGTAGTATGATATAATTTTTCATGCCTGTATTGTTCAGCGAAGTAGTTTGTGTCGACGATGGATAATATGAAGTTGTTGAAGGTTCTGGAGTGGTCGGGGATTGTACGAGAGGTGTGGAAGTTAAATCAGCAAATGAGGTCTTTGATGCAGCCAGAGTGCTTGCAACATTTTGGGGTGGTCTTTCACTTGAAGTTCCTGAAATAAATGACACGAGAACAACAAATTCTTCGGCAACAAGTTGTATGCTCAACAAGTTAATTTGAAAAGTTCCTTAAAAAGTTCCTAACTTCCTGTTTCATTGACAAATCAAATTTTATATTTTATTTTTGAGCAATCTGATTGGTCAATGAAACAGGAAGTCAGGAACTTTTTAAAGAACTTTTCAAATTGTTGAGGAATTGTGCAGATGTGTTCTTTCAAGTTAGGAAATGAACTGGTCAACATTTTTCGGAACGCTTCTATTGGCACGACTGTAATGTTGTCACCCCATTCGATGTTTCCACTTTATAATCATGATAAACTCCGGGATTCACTTGGCAGCATAACTCAGTGTCCTCATTTCCTTTTTACTCCGTCAGCATACCTGCAATCATTTTGCAATTACCTTG